TGCAGCTGTAAGTGGCAGAGTTGGGATTTGTACAAGACAGTCTGGTTCCACTGTCTGCCCCCTATAGGGTGAACTAAGAAAGTGGAGGTTTCTGAATGTCAAGCAGAGGAGGTATAACAATCTTGGAATATTAGGAACATTGGACTTCTGTTATCGGTTTATTACAAGTAATTTTGCCATAGCCTTATCACATTGAATAAAAGTGAGACCCAATAGAGCTCGTGTAGTATACATTTGAATGGTAAAGGTTAATTTGGTTAATCTCTTCTTACTCCCTTAAGGGAAAGTGATTTGTTCTGTTGGTTGCAATCGGAGGATTTTTTTTTTTTTTTTTTTAAGATTCTAGGATGTGCTAATTCTTTCAGGTTTAGTACTTGAGAATGCTCTGTAAACCTTTGCTCCTTTTGTAGGATTGAGCAGCCAATAGATTGTTCCCTGCCCCTTGTGGTGGGATGGTTTCCATCTTGTCAAACTTGATGTTTCAGCCATCCACAACTTAAGACCAGATGGTACAGGAGAAGGCACATCTTCTTTCTGGTGATAACCTTTCCACTACTCGTGTAGCTCCCCCTTTTGATACCTTGTGTCCACTTCCCTTGATCCTCTAAATAATTCAGAGAACAACTTGAAATACCTGTTTTGGGACCCATATTTGGACAGAAATAAGGAAACATTCTTGGATATATATGGAATTCTTCTGTTCTGGAATTGACTGTAGATTTTTCTATTTCTAACCTGAAATTTCAGATCTGAAAACTACACTGGACTTTGGTTCTTAAGGGTAGAGATGGCTTTGTTCAATTATACCTACTGTGCACTGAAGAGAGGGAGACAAATTGTTCAAACCCTCAAATGGCTCATAGTCAGAGGGGAAGACAGCCTTATAAGAAAGTATGTGCATAAAATGCAGATACAGTAATAGAAGTATGTCCACATTACAGAGGACCCAAAAGGGAGTGTGGTCAGATTTGGTAGGAGAGAGTCAAGAAAGGCATCAGAAGAGGGGATGCTTGAAAAGAGTCTTAAAATATAAATAGGTGTTTATCATATGGTTGAGGCAAAAAAAAAAGAGCATCCCAGGCAGAGGGTGTGAAATACTGCAATTCATTTAGGCAGCTTCAAATAGTTTGCTATAGCTGGAGCAAATTATGAGGCTGAAAAAGATGTCAGGAGCCAAGTCATGTCAGGTCTTTTATGCCATGCTAGAGTTTGGGTTTCTGTAGTTTCCATATACTGGAGTGGTCTGATGTGGAATCCCTAACCTCATTCCAACCATGTAGAAATGCTGATAAAAAGTCTCTAATACAGAGCTGAGCTTGAAAGCAAGAAAGAGAAATCCTCAGATGCCAGGAAGAGAGAGGAAATTCAAACCCTGAGCTTTAAGTGGGAGCTGAAGCTAAACAGTTTTATGAAACCAGATATAATGCTTGGGGTGTGAGGTATTAGGACCAGTATGGGAACTGCAGATAAGGCCTCAGGCTAACAATTCCTACTTGCAGCTGGGAGCCAAAACAGGTGAAAAATGTGAAAAATGAACTTGAAAAATTCCATCCACTAGTCCAAGGAAACAGCATGAAGACTGTGATCTTCTCAGGGGTTTTGGATGGAAAAAGAATTGACTATGATAAATTAGAACCCCACACTTATTACTATGCATAGTTTTAAATTTACACTCTGGGCAAAACTGAAAAAAAAATAGCATAAAAACTGGTATAGAAACAGAGAAATCCAGAGGCTTTGGCCAAGGCAAATGTGAGATTTCCCTGTTAAAACACCTCACAACCTAGGGCACCAGATTCCTGTAGAGAACAGTCTCCATTAAAGATGAACTCATGGTCAGAATTACAAACTCTCCAAGAAAATTGATTTCCCGGAGAGAGAATGAGCAGAAAGAGATAAGTAAAAGCATTTCTACCCCAAGAAGTGGCGATAAGAGTACAACCTCAAAGATATCTTTATGTGAATTTTCACAGAGATAAAGAAAAGATGTTAGACATTGTAAGAAAAGAACAGGATAGTATGAAAAGAAAGTGGGCAGATTTTGAGGAAAATATTAAGTCATCTGATGAAAAAATTATTTACTGACGCAGAAACACATTGAATAGGTTAAAAGTAGACAGGCTATAGCTACAGAGAGAAATAGTGGATTGGAAGCTCGATGTGAGGAAATCACTTAGAATGCATCACAGACAAATAGAGAAAAATAGGGAAGAACAGTTAAGGTACACGAAGGACAGACAGTCGTTTATATTTCTAATAGGGGTTTCTACAGTAGAGGCTTATGAGGAGGATAGTGATACAGATTTCACTGAGCATACATCTTAAAAATTGTAAGGATGAACACTAAAATGATAGCAGTAGAGTGTATCATTTCCAAACCATAAAGAAAAACAAGAGCAAAGAAAATTTAAACTGTTAAAATCAAAGATAGGAAAAGAAAGAGAAGCAAAGAGGAAGTGTATCCAGTTATATCAGTAACCATAATAAATGCAAATGGATTAGGCATGCCTGTTAAAAGATAGAGATTCTCAGATTGAATGGTGGATGGGGGCAAAATAAAGCCACCATAGGCTATTTTAAGCATAATGACCCAGAAACGTTGAAAGTTAAGAGATGGAAGACAATATTGAATGTGTCATAGGCAGGAATTCATCCAAGCAATGTTTATAACTGGAAAAAATATTAGGTGAGGGGTACCCTGAATATCCATTAGGGGAATAGATTTTAGAATTCTAAGACATTTATATATAAAAATAATGGAATACTATTCATTACTATTAAATGGATCAACTGGGTTTATATATATCAGTATGAATGAATCGAGAAAATATGAGTGAAAAAAGCCTTTTGCAGAATATGATATTTACACTTTACACCTTCTTCCTATTGAAAATATCCCCTTACCTGGTTTCATTTATTTATTTTACATACCATTTAACACTAATGATACTGCTTTGTACTGTAGCAGATCATAACAAAGGACTTGTCTCATTTTTGGCTAAAGCACCTAAAGGCTGAGAACAAAGCAGAGTGTTCCCAAATGAGACTCTAGACTGCAGAACTTGTGAAGGCAGTATGTGAAAACCAATTTTGGAATCCTGAACGCATCACCTAAAAGGAAGAGAGAAGGAAAAAAATAAATAAAGGAAGAGAGGAGAGAGAGTTCCTTTGGATAAAGTGGGAGGGCAGTGGTATTTTCACTTGGAGAACTTGACCTCTGTTCCTGGAGCTGGTGGACACAGAGACCAGACCTGTGCCTGGGAAAGTCTAAACAGAGTGGCTGTATGGGAAGGCTGTTAATCCTTAGAATTCTTCAGGGCAAAGGTGTGGGTACAGCAGAGAAAATGCTGGCTGGCCTGGAGTAGAAATAAAGGGCTTAGGTTCACAAGGATCCTTGAAGGACAGTGACACCCCTACAGAAAGTCTTGTAAAGTGGTTTGCCAAAAAGCAGGGACTTGTAATCAGCTGGCTGGAAGAGGCCTTGCCAACATTACCAGAACTACAGGTGAGGTCTCAACAATGGGAGCTCTCCAGGGAACCACAGAAGCATCCCATACAAGAAAGAGTTAGCTTTACACATCTGCTGAGTCTAGAAAGCACACTAAAACCTGATTAGTGGAGTATCACAAAAGAAGGGAAGGCTTTCCCTGTCCCTTACTGCGCCTCTTCCCAGCTTCAAACTTGGAAGGGTCAGAGGTCAAAGCAAACAAGCAGATGGGGGAGCAAGGGAAGCAAAGATGGGGAGAGGAGTCAGACATGTCCCACCGTGGGCTGCTAGGCTGGAAGCAGACCCCAGCCAGGGAAGGGAATTGAGACTTTTTTTTTAGTTGCTTTTTATTGAACTATAATCTGCATGTAGAAAAGTGGAGAAATCATGGGTGTACATTTTGACAGATTTTCACAAAGTGAACACACTTGTGTCACCAGTCTCCAGATCAAGAAACATTACTGGCATCCCAGAAGCCCTCTGTGGCCCCTTCCTTTCCCTAACTGGGCCTACCTCCCCCAGAGTAGTAACCATGCAAGATAAGATTTTTTTTTTTTTTGGTAATTATAAAAGCAACTTTATTATTTTATCTTTCATGTTAATTTTTTAAAATTCTTAGTCAAAATAATTTCACAATTACAGAACAGTTGCAAGATCACAAAGAACTTCCCCATCCTCTTCACCCAGATTCCTTAATTGTTTATATTTTACACTTAATGCAAAGATGTGTATCAACTTTAAGTTGGTGATTTCTTTTTTTAGAAACAGGAGAGGAATGAGTTTAGTGAAGGATGTAAGGAGACAAACTGTAGGATGTTTTGTTATTTTATGCAAAACAGCAAAATGTTAACTTTTTTCAATTATAAATACTCTACCTTTTTATTTGTTTGAAGTTTTAAATTTTTTTCAAATAAGAGAGTTTGAATTTTATCATCTAGGAAGTGGGGAGCTGTTGAAGTAAGCTTTTTATTGTTGAAATAAATATGCCTTTATGACTTCCTTGCTCTCTGTCCTTGCCCGTGAATTAAGACACTTAAGTGAGCTATAGGGTTGATTCACCTTAGTATCGTTTTTCTTTTCTTCTCATCCTTACTGCCTCTCTCTGCTAAGTGCCCAGCGGTGTCTGACATGGTTAGATTAAAACTTGCACTTTTCCTAATAGATGTAACTCTCTTCCTGATTTGCAGTAAGCGGGACCTGCTTTTAAGCAATTACCCATCATTTGGGGCCATCATACACACTGTGCTTTGGTTCAGGTCATAATCAATAATTCATATGTCAATAGGAGCCCCATTAGCTCAGGTGAAAGCAGATGTTTTTCAATGAAAATGTTCCATTTTCCAAATGACTTTTCTTTTTCCCAGAGAGTTGTGGTTATAGAAGACATAAAAAGATGGAAAACTATGTTGGAGCTTCCTGATCAGACCAGAGAGAATCTAGTTGAAGCTTTACGAGAATTAAAGAAGAAAATACCTTCCAGGGAAGTGTTAAAATCAACAAGGATAGGTATGTTCTTTCTGAATTTTATGAAAAGTGCTTATATTTTGTCTCCTTCCTTCATCCTTTTCTTCCTCCCTCAAACATTAAGTTATTTATCATATCAGCACTTCTCAAACTATCTATGATGAAGGGCTGTTGTTTAAAAAATTCTCCATTGGTTGCAGACCAATATTTTTATGATATATAATAAAAATTGCCAGAAAAAGAAAATATACAAAATACATGCCCCGCTTTTTTTTTTTTATTAGATTCAACAGATACAGAATTACTCTGTCAAATTGCTATCAAAGTTTCTAAATGCTTACTTCAGTTTCTGTACTTAACTCATGGCTTGGTAACCAGCAGTGATCTAAGGATAACTTTTTGAGTGTGTTTGCTGCTGTGTGTTCAGAAATGTCTGAGACATGGTTTATGACCTCTAGAAACTTAGGGTTTGGTGGGAGAAACAAGCATGTAGATGATCAGGAGCAGAAAATACTGTAGGTTATAAACAAAAGCCTTTAAATAATATCCTGGATATCATTCTGATCTGTACAAGGTACGTGCTGGCACCAAGGACAGAGCAGTCACTTACATCTGGGGGACTCAGAAAAGGCTTCGTAGAAGAGAGGAGATTTCAGCTAGATCTTGATGTTAAATCTTGGCTTTTCTGTTTCGAGTAGAAATAACTTGCAGAGTGTGGTTTGTAAAAACAAAATGATAGCAACATTTGCCGCTACATCATTTATTATAGCATGGAGATATTTAAAAGGTAAGTCAGGGACTTCGTTGAATTGCCATTTTAGTACAGTACACAACTGTGAATAATATTCAAGGGAGCGCCAACATGTGTTCCTCAAGCTGCTCCCAGCTCCCTAGGGAGTCCAAGGTAGTCATTCACAGCTGCTCCTGTTGCCCTCGCTAGTGCAAACCATTGCCTTCTCTGCCTCCCCTTGACCTCTTGTTCATGAGAAGCAGAAGAGAGAGCAGCTTCAGACTGGTGCTAACAGCTGGCAAGAGCTATGTGAAATCCCCTGGAGGGCCCCCCAAGAGTCTTGAGAGTTGCACCCCTGTAATATAAACCAGAATCTGAGAAAATTAGATGCTTAAAGAACATAAAGCCCTATCATTATAGCCAAGGAGATTCTCCCATCTGCTGCTGGATTTTCTCTTTATAGGTTGTGGTCACTAGAGGGCAATAAGACCATTCATATGAGCCGGTAAGGTATCTCCACCAGTAGAGGGTACTAGTGATTAATATTTTATGACATGTATATATGTACATATGTGTGTGTGTATATTCATATTTAGGCACACACCACAAATACCATTTCTGATCAGATCTTTTTTTTTTTTTTAAAGATTTTATTTATTTATTTGAGAGAGAGAGAATGAGAGAGAGCACATGAGAGGGGGGAGGGTCAGAGGGAGAAGCAGACCCCCTGCCGAGCAGGGAGCCCGATGCGGGACTCGATCCAGGGACTCCAGGATCATGACCTGAGCCAAAGGCAGTCGCTTAACCAACTGAGCCACCCAGGTGCCCTCTGATCGGATCTTAAATATCAGTGGAATAGGCTGGAATTGTCCTACAAATACAGAACAGATGATCATTTAAAAAAAAAATATTTCTGTTTGTGGGGCACCTGGCTGGCTCAGTCGGTAGCGCATGCGACTCTTGATCTTAGGGTTGTGAGTTCAGTCCCCACTTTGGACATAGAGATTACTTTAAAAAAAATTATTTCCATTTGTCCTTTGAGTACAGTTGTGAGTGTGCTTTTAAGAATGTGTGTGTCTAATGTTCATAGATTTCAATTCAGGGATCATAATGAAATCAAACACTTGGTTTGACTTAGGAGGAGCTAGAAAGTATCCAACTTTTGAGTCCTGACCCTACCCCAAGCCCTCCCTAAACCTGAGGTTGTATGGAATATAGGGGTTTCTTGGTTCCTTTGTAGTTATTTCACTTGCTAGGCTGAAGATTCATTTGGATCACTGCCTGAGAATGTTTACATTCTTCCGCCTTGCCTCCTGCCTGTCCCTATCCTGTGGGCTATAAGGGACACATATTTACGGACTACTTTCTCTGTGCTAGAAACTGTGTTGGCGTAATAATGAAGGAGACAGATATTGTCCCCACCTTTTTGGATCCTGCAGTCTAATGGAAGGACAGACAGTTTAACAAGACTTTATCATACAGTGTGATGAGTGCTCTGATGATGGGTAGAAGGTAGCCAACAGAGTATACATGTTGAAAGTAGAGAAGGAGGTGTTGAAGAACATGTTAGGCAGTGGGCAACATCATGTGAGCTGTACGGAGGGCTGGAGGTGGGGGAGAACATGATGCATTCCAGAAATTAGAAGTTTGGTGTATTTGAAATGTAATAGGCTGGAAAGAGTGTGGTAAGAAGTGAAACTGGAGAGACAATCTTGACCAGATGGAGAAGGCTCTTTGTAAGTCTGCTTGGTCTTAGTGTGTGTATTAGTTATCTATCCCTGGGTAAAAATTCCCCCCAAGTTTAGCAGCTTAAGTATTTGTTAACTCACATAGTTTTTCTGAGGGTCAGGAATCTGGAAGCTGCTTATTTGGGTGGTTCTAGTTCACGGTCTCTTAAGAGGTTACAGTCAAGCTTTTGGATGGGGCTGTAGTCATCTGAAAGCTTCACCAGGGCTTGAGTATCTCAAAATGGCTCACTCACAGGACTGCTGGTAGGAAGCCTCAGTTCCTCATCATGTCGGCCTCTCCTTACAGCTGCTCATGACATGGCAGCTGACTTTCCCCAGAACAAGCGATCCAAGAGAGAACAACCAAGATGGATGCCACAGTGTCTTTCATAACCTAATCTTGGAAGTGGCATGCTGTCACTTCTGTCATATTCTATTGGTCACACAGACCAACCCAGGTAAAATATGGGGGGGGGGGGTTGGGCAACTGCATACAGGTTATGAATACCAAAAGGTAAGGATCATTGGAGGTTATTAGTAAACTGGCTACTGTAGCATGTATTTCTCATTTATTTTACTTCCTGGATCTGCAGATTTATGTTCATTTGTAGAAATTTTACAGCCATTATCTCATCAAAAGTGGCTCTCTCTCATTCTCACTATTCCTTCATTTTGGGATTCTACAGTTAGAAGTATGTTAGGCCTTTTATTTACCAAACCCCTTAGCTTATCAGTCATCATCCTATCTCCTTAATCTCATAGAATTCCAGGAAATTTCTTCAGATATGTATCTTCCAAGTCATTAATTCTCTCTCCAGCTCACTCTAATCTGCTATTTAGCCCATTCATGGAGTTCTTTGTTTCAGAGCCATTTTACATTTTTACAAGTTTCCCCCCCAAATCTGTCTCTTTTCAATAGTATTTGTATATCCTTGTCATTGTGCCTTTTCTTTATTTTTTAAAGGTTATTTACTTATTTGAGAGAGAGAAAGTGAGAGCCTGCGTGCACAAGTGGGGGAAGGGCAGGGAGAGGGCGAGAGAAAGAGAATCCTCAAGTAGACTCCCCACTGAACACGGAGCCCAACACAGGGGCTTGATCCAAGGACCCTGAGGTCATGACCTGAGCCAAAGTCAGACACTTAACCCACTGAGCCACCCAAGTGCCCTTGTGCCTTTTATTTCTTTAAGTATTAATATATGGTTCTTTTGTATTCTTCATCTGACTATTCTAGTACTTGTAGTCCTTGAGGATTTACATCTTTGTTTCTTCTGACTCTCATGGTGCTTGCCTTTCCATGTGCTCGTTGATTTTTAATTGTGAGCTCATTTTTTTCTTTTAATCCATGGGAATTCTGTCAGGTTAGGTTGGAGCTTCCCTCTAGAGGGGATTAACTTTTTTTTAGTTTCTGCCAGTAGTCAAGGGCCACTTCTAACCTGGAATACTTTAGCATACCTTGCAAGGATCCCAGCTCAGTATCCAAGAGTCCCACGATTAGTTCTCCCACTTCATCACTGGCCCAAAGTTAAGTGTTTCAGCAGCATTGCTATTAACATCACCCCTTAGGATAATCCTACTCCTTTAGCCTCTGCTTACTTTTTTGGAGGAGGGAATGAGGTGACTTTTATCCAGAATCTAGTTTATTGCAGTGCAGGGGTAGCTTTAGTCCACCATAAAGCCTAAGATCTTAAGGGTAATAGGTGGTTGTTATTGAAGGGTTTTGAGTAGAGGACTGACATATTCAGATTTACATTTTAGAAAAATCTGTCTACCATGTGGGAAAAATGTTGGAGAGAAGCAAACCTAGAGTCAGGAAGCCCAGTTAAGAAGCAATTAAAATGTCTAGGTGAGAAATGAGAGCCTCCTGGATGGGATAATCATCATGGGGATGGAGCCGTGTGCTTGGAATCAAGAGATATAAATAGAATAAAATCCAAAGGACATAGACATTGATTGGATGTTGGGAATGAAGATAAAGAAATGAAAGTTGAGGCCCAGATTTCTAATATGGGCAAATTGGTGGATGGCAGTACTGCTTATTACCATAGAGGTGGGGGCAATATAAGTTCAGTTTTAGACTTAACTGTATTTGACATACTGTGGGACATCCAAGTGAAAATGTCTAACAAGACATTGGACGTACAAGACTGCAGCTAAGGAGAGACCATAAATATCTGTTTGAGAGTCATTATCGGCATATAGTTAGAAATTGAGGCAATAGAAATAGGTAAGCTTGTTCAGGGAGAATATATAAGAAAAGCTAAGAGCCAAGTCCCAAATCCTGAGGCACACCAATCTTGAAGAGACTTGTATAAGGAAACTGAGAAGGTATGACCAGAGAAACAGAAGGGAAACAGGAAGGAATGCTGTCATGCACTGGGAAGGAGTGGGGTATTGGGGGGGGGGGGGCGGCAGAGGTCAGCATGTCCATTGTTGTCAAAGGGCCAAATAAGTGAAATCTAGAAATTGCATTTTGGATTTTGCAAAGTAAGGTCATTAACGATTTTGGTAAGGACAGTTGCAAAGGCAAGATTAAGAGCAGAAGCTTGAAGAGAGAGGAGGAGGGTAAGGAAATGAAACTGATGGTAGATAACTCTTTCAAGAAGTTTTGTGTTGAAAGAGAAGAGAGAGGCAGCAGTATCAGAAAGGGAATGTGGAATGGAAGAAAGTTCTGATTTTTGGAACAAGGGAGACGCTAACTTGCTGGGTGACGGGCTCACAGAGGGACCTTGTCTGAGAGAATGGACTGGCTTCAGCAAGACTTGACTGAGGAGGTGAGAGGGAGTGAGGACGTCAACGTGCCTTTCTCTGTGTTGTCCTCTCCTCCGGCGCATTCCATCTACCTTCAGACTCTTTAATTGTCTGCCACCTTTTCCAGCCACCTGTTTCTCTTTTATAGCCACCTCCCTTTAAAAATGATTGATACTCACAACTCCCATTTCTGCCCCTCCCACTCCTTCATTAAACTCTTTCTGTTCTGGCTTCTCCCACACCACTGTTCTTCCCTCGCAGGACACGAGTGATTTCTTTCTAAGCAAATCCAATAGTCTTGTCTCATTTCTCATCTTCCCAGAACTGTGAACTTGAGACCATTGATTTACTCTCTTTTCTGTTGACATAAGTGACACTGAACTTGTTCCCAATTCTGTGTCTATTTTTGTATATATATGTTTTTATGTATATGTTTTTATCTGAGTTTATAATGACTCATTTGTTTGCTGCTTTGTTTTTTTATTTGCTAACTAGCAACTCTGTGTCCGCAGGACATTGCTTTTATTCACCAGTACATTTCAAGCATTAGTGTGGCCTATAGCAGCAGCTCAGGATATATTGATCAAGTCAGTGAAAATGACAAGGACAAAGATTTTCTCCATGGCTCTTTCTGCCTTTATATATCCTGCTTCTTGCCTTTCTCTGTTTCTTCATTCTTGTCCCTTTCCCCTACCAGAGGGTGCTGTTCCATAAATCTCAGACCTCAGTCAGCTGCTTTAGAAGTACTTAACCAGAGAGCTTGTCCACTTCTCCAGTTTAACTGAGGTGACTTAATTCAGGTGAGTCTTGGGTATGCATCTCCTGTCCTCATTAACTTTTGAATCTTAGACTTTTAGAAAGGTTCTGATTTATATTCCTGCTACTTTCATAAAATATTACTAATTCAACAGGTAAAAATAGCATCTTGTTTTCATTTGCTTCATAGAATGGTTTTCTGTGTTTATTGGTACTTTGTCCTTTTTTGTGAACTGTTTGTATTATTTGTCCATTTACTGTTGAGATCTTACCATTTTTGTTATCTCTTTCTGAATTCTATAAAGTCAATGTCATAATACTTTTAAATCTTAGCTACTTCAGTTTATAAACAAAGAAACTCAGGCCCAGAGAGATAAAGTGACTTATCCAGGGCCACTTAGTGAGGTTAGCACCAGAAATGTAATGAGAGCCCAGGTCTCTTGGGGCAGGGTTCTTTCCTGGTTAGCGGACAGACTGCCATTGTGCCGTGGACCCCGGCCATATGTGCCTTTATTTTATCAGAGCATTTCTCTGGGTTCTGCCATCTGCACAAACTCACCTCTTTTAAGTCAGAATTTAGTGCCTTTTCTTATGTACCCCAAATGGGAGTTTTCTCCTAGTATTGCCATTTTAGTCAACATCCCTATGATTTTGCTCTGACAAACTCTTCAGGTAGAAATGTCCAACAGGGAGCTGGAGCCGTGGGATTGAAGTGCAGATGAGAAATTTAAGACCAACAATACGTATTTGGAAGTCATCTGTCCAGAAGCATTTGCTTACAATCACCTAAGTGGTGAATTCTCTGAATAAAAGTAAAAGAAAAGGCTAAAGGATTAAACCTGAGTGAATGTCTGTGGGGTGGAAGTGGGAGGAAGAAGAGGAGCCAGTGAAGAGACAGAGGGAGTGTAATTAAAGAGGAAGAGGGAGAGAGGCAGGGCAGTACAATGACATGCAGACTCAGGAGGAGAATGTTTTAAGAGGCACAAGAAATGTGTGACCTCACTTCTCTCAAGTGGTCTGGGAAGTCAAGGGCTGGCTGGGCAAAAGCCTTTGGATCTGCCACTGAATTAAGGGCTCTGTGACTAGATACCTTTATTATAGAGGAAATAAGTGGGCAAGGGGTATGGGGTAAATGTCTGGTAAGGCAGTGGAGTCAGGCCTTGCCCTCTTAACCTGATGAGCAAGCATGCCCCCCTTTTGCAATACTGTACATAGGAATATAATGGGGAAAATTATATGTCCATCCTATTGATCTGACTTCAGAGATGTCTTTTTTTTTTTTTCTTAAAGATTTTATTTCTTTATTTGAGGGAGAGACACAGCGAGAGAGGGAACACAAGCAGGGGGATTGGGAGAGGGAGAAGTAGGCTTCCTGCTGAGCAGGGAACCCGATGCGGGGCTCGATCCCAGGACCCTGGGATCATGACCTGAGCTGAAGGCAGATGCTTAACAACTGAACCACCCAGGCGCTCCCAAAGATGTCTTATTTTCATTTATGACTGGTTAACAACAGCAAAAAACCCTGTATCACAAAGTACTTTCCCATCTGTGATCTCATTTGATCCAGATAACCATTGTGTGAGGGAAATGTTAACGGTTTTCTCCATTTTACAGATGGGAAAACTAAGGCTTAGAGAGTTTGAAGTAATTTGCTCTTGGTCAGAAAACCAAATAAGTGACAAAGCTATGATGTACTTATACCATGTCATGTCACCTCTTGAAACCTAAAGGTGCACCTTTGTCCATGGTAAACTCTTGCTTGCCCTTCAAGACCCAGATGAAATGCAGTCTTCTAATCTGAAGCTAAAAATGTTTGTTGAATGAATAAATGAGTTAGTGGGTGGATGAATGAATGGGTTTGTGATTTAACTTGCTCAAGGTTATGGAATAAGTTAATGGCAACGACCTTTCAGATGGCCTTTTCTTTTTAAGTTGTCCCATAGATTGTCATTGCTTCAGCAATCTTGAACTACTTATAGATTCCTGTATTCATTTTCTTTTGAATAATGCCCTGACAAATTGCCACAAAAACCACTAGGTTTAAAACTTGGAAACACAGATTTATTATCTTACAGTTTTATAGGTCAGAAGACAGGTCTCATTGGGCTAAAATCAAGGTGTTGGCAAGGTTACATTCCTTCCTGGATGCTCTAGGGAAGAATCTGTTCCCTTGCCTTTTCCAGTTTCTAGAAACACTGCATTCCATGGCTCATGGTTCCCTTCCTTCATCTGCAGAGCTGGCAGTGGTGGGTCGAATTCTTGTATCTTATCTCTCCCACACGAGCCTTCTGTCTCTTCTACTTTTAAAGACCTGTGTGATTAGATTGGGCCCACTTAGATAATTCAGGTTAATCTTCCCATCTCAGAGTCCTTAACCTTAATCTTGTCAAAGTCCCATTTTCTGTGTAAGGTAACATAATCACAGGTTCTGAGGATTGGGGCATGGACATCCTTGGGGATCATTGTTTTGCTTACTACAACCCTTAAATTATGCCATGCTATTTCAGGTTCTGTCTTCTCCTTCACTGTGCTTCTTGTGTGAGTCCTGTCTTCTTGAACCATTGTCAAGACTCAGGACAAGAATTGCCTCTTTTCATGGTGTTCCCCGGCCCTTTTGTTAGCTGAATTGACTCCTCTGTCCTTTTGACCCTCCCTGGAGTTCCCCTTCAATACTATCTTAGGATCCTGGACCGACCTGTAACACTTTTGTGTATTTTGTTTTGTTTAGGTGTCTTCTCCTATGCTTAGACCTACCTGGAGCTCCTTGGGTACAGGATTGTCTTGCTCAACATTCTATCCCAGTGTCTAGCACAAGGCCTGGTACATACTTTGTATTTGGTAATGTTTGTCAAATGAGCAAAAGACTGCTTCCTGCAGGGAATTCATCTTACCAGTGTGCTGGGATGCAGAAACCCCCTGCCCTTAAACCTAGGGGACTTGACTTAGATCATAAGACCAGCCAGTGGCACCACTTGCTTTAAAACATAAACCTCATGGAGCAAATAATGACTTTGCAGATCATTAACTTCCTTGATGTAGCTACTGACCAACTTGTGACCTTGGGGAAAGGTCACAGAGCCTCATATTTTTTCATCTCAATCAGGTAGAGATAGGACTGTATGATCACCAGGGGCACAAGTATAGGGTTAAAGCATGAACTCTGGAGCCACACTGCGGACATTTGAAAGCTGGTCCTATTTCTTACTTGCCATGTCCTGCAAGTCACTGAATTTCCAGGTCCTTGGGTTCTTTACCTGTAAAATGGGGTATCATAACAGCCCCTGCCTGTTCTGAGGCTTAAACGAGTTAAGGTAGGTAGAGCATTTAGCACAGTGGCTAACTGTTGTTATTGTTACCATGAAATTCCCTCTCTGATCTAAAATTTATCCTTTTGTCTTGCTTTTGTTTTGTTTTGTTTTCTAGAAGAAGGTTTCCTAGACATCCCCTCTCTTCTCTTTTGCTGCCCCAGACCAGCTGCCTTTCCTGCTATCACCTGCCTTGCGGACAAATCTTGCATTCTCCTGGGCTCCCTTACAGTACTGCCCTTCCTGGGAGGACTTCACTGGTTTGGCAGCATCTCCTGACCAGTCTGGGTAGAGGTCCTGTGGGGCATCTGTGAGGTGACCCCACTGCCCTGGCCTGAGAGGTGAAGCCTTCTGCCCTTTGGCCATCTCTCAAGACCTGTGCTCTTCTGATTGGGGAACAGCAAGAAGTTGAACAGCATTATCTCAACAGAGCTTTACTGAACACTCCCTGCGAGCCAGTCCCAGGGAATTAGGGGTTAAGTGTGTAGGCTCTGGAGTCAGGCTGTGTGTGTTCAGATCCTGGCTAAACCTGGCTAAACCCTTAGTAGCTGTGAAATGTTGGGCAGGTTACTTTGCTGAGCTTCATTTTCTCATTTGTAAAAGGAGATATAATAATAGTATTTAATTCATTGTTTAGTTATAAAAATTAAATGGGATAATTCACATACAATCTGGAGTAGTAAGCAGGAAGAATTCTTAATTAGAGGCTCAGGTGGGCATTTAAACATTCTAGGCAGAGGGAACAGTGTGAGCTAAGGCACAGAAATGTAAGAAGTCTAGACAGCCTGACCTGAAACAAGGACCTGCAAGTTGCTCTCCATGACTAGAACTTAGTCCATGAAGGCAAAGGGGCAGAAGGGCTGGGGGTGACCGGAGAGAGGAAAGAAGGTAACAAGGTGAGAGGTAAGCCCAAAGAGCTTCCAGGTCATCAAGAGCTTGAATGTTATACTTAGGAATTAATTTGAGGGCAGTAGAGAGAGCCATTGAAGGGCTTTTGCTAAGGGGGTAATGAGATCAAATTGTGTTTTTGAAGATTTATTTATTTGAGAGAGAGAGAGAGAGAGTCGGGGGAGGGGCAGAGAGAGAATCTTCAAGCAGACTCCCCACTGAACACGGAGCCTGATGCCAGCTCAATCTCAGGGCCCTGGGATCATGACCTGAGCCAAAACCGAGAGGCAGATGCTTAACTACTGAGCCACACAGGCATGCCTCAAATTGTGTTTTTCAAAGGTTATTTTGACTTGAGTAATAAGGATGAGTTGGAGAAGGCCGGACTGGCGACGAAGATTGGTTAGTACGTCTCTGCAGTAAACCTGCAGAGAGGTGGTGAGGACCTGAATTAGGGTAGCAGTGAGGAGGAAGGGGAGGTGAGGAGGAAAAGGGAAAGATATAAAAAATGTTAAAGAGCCTGAAATGATGGGTGAATGGTGGTGCCTTGTGTGACAAGAAGTACAGGAGGAGAGACTGAGGGGGAAAATAAGGAGTTCCATTCCCCATTTTAGAAGTGTTGAGTTACTTAATCATAGGAAACAAACTGACGGTTGCTTCAGATTGGGGGATGGGGTAACTGGGTGATGGGCATGCAGGAGGGCACGTGATGTAATGAGCACTGTGTGTTATATACAACTGATGAATCACTGAACTCTACTTCTGGAACTAATAATATACTATATGTTAATTGAATTTAAATAAATTTTTAAAAAAGCGTTGAGGTACTTGCGAAAGAAGCAGGTGGAGGTGTCCAGTAGGGGACTGGATGTTTGGGTCTTGTGCTCAGTGAGAGCCTTTGGGCTAGAGATATATATTTAGGAGTCATCTGCTTGCAGATGGTAGTTGGACCACAGGAATGGGTAAGATTACTCAGGGAGAGCAGGTGGAGAAAGAAGAGAAGAGGCCAAGGACAATGCCCCCCAGCTCAGGTTCACTGATAATTAAAGGTTAGGTAAGACATATGCAGCCAGCAGAAGAGAGAGAAAGAACAGTATCAGGTGGTGTCCCAAAAAGCGGTGGAAGAGAGTATTTCGGAAGACAAAGCAGCATCAGAGGTCACAGAGGGAACAAGTAACATCAGGATGGAGAAGATCCATTGCATTTGACCAGCAGAAGGACTCTCTTGGAGGGACTTCTGCATCTTCATTTCTCGCATATCAGGCTGGATCAACAATGTCTTTCTTGGAGAGAGAAAAGGATAAGAAGGGGAACACATGGAAGGGAAGGATCTGTATTTGGAAAAATCTGAATGCCCCTCTGTTACAGCACAGCCCATGCTGTTAGGATTGCTGACAGGTTGAGCCAGTCCATGCGATGGAGCTGAGCTGCATGCAGTCCTACTACTCACAGGAGACCCCGGGTAATCATTTCATTATAAATTCTTGACTTTTTTCTCTGCATATAAACAAATATATGTGCTTATATGTATACACAAATATAATTTTAAAAGTAAATATTGGCTCATACTGTGCGTGCTCTTTGGAGAACCTGAATAAAGTGATCATCTTTCCATGTTACTACATGTAGAGCTATTCCAGTCTTTTATGGCTGCAAAGTATGCATTGTTCAAGTGAACTGTAATTTATTTAACCAATCGGACACTTAATGATGGACTTCTAATTGTTTCTTGCTTTTCACTATCACAAACAGTACTGTAAGGGTATTTTTGTATACATTTCTGTGCACACTTTGGCAGGGTGAGTATAGGTCAAATTCCAGGGACTGTGTCTTACTCGTATCTCTTTGTACTAACCTTTCTATCTTATAGTACATTTTCCCCTTTCATCTGCATTTCCCCCTATACTTTAGTAAAAAGATGTTATTCTTCATATGGGTCTCTGATTCCACCAACATTTACTGCACACCCACTCTCCCGACCCCTACCTCCTGCCACTGTGTTCTCTGCTGGAGAGACAAAGATGAACATATCACAGCTCTTGCCCTCCAGCTCTCTTTGGTGGGCAAGAGAGGTAGCTGATCAGATAATTACAACTAGTTATAACAACTATTGTGAGGGACAGAAGCACAGGGTGCTGAGGAAGCACAGAGGAGCAGGAGGAGAGGCACCGACCCAAGACGGGGGCTATTAAGGAGGACTCACTAGAGTAGGGGACTCCTAGACTGAGTCTTAAAGGCAGAATGGAAACTAACCAGATAAAAAGGGAAGCAAGGGTGTTCTAGGCAGACAGAATGTTAACTGGAAAGTAGGTGGGAGGGGACAGATCGTGAAGGGACTTGTGTGACAAGATACAAGTTTGGGTACAGCACTGAAAGGTTTACGTGGAGGCGTGAAATGGTCAGATTTATGTTTTAGAAAAAATATCTCTAAAACAGGAAATAATTAAGTTTTAAAAAGGCCACTCTGGCTGCACTGTGGGAGATGCCATTAAAGGGTTCCAAACTTAGGCAGAGAGGCCAGTCAGGGCTGTTGGGAGTCAACTGGAGACAACATGCCCAAATGTTACTTAACATTAACATACATGTTAATGTATTGTTAAGTGGTTTATGGTTTTTACTCATGTAAGCAGGATTTTTCCCTACTGTATTCAGACTGGTTATTGCAGACATAAGAAAGCTATTGATTTTTTTAAAAAATATATCTAATATTTCTCTACTTTTTAAGTTTTTATTTTTTTATTTTATTTTATTTTATTTTTTTTAAAGATTTTATTTATTTATTTGAGAGAGAGAGAATGAGAGAGAGCAAGCACATGAGAGGGGGGAGGGTCAGAGGGAGAAGCAGACTCCCTGCCGAGCAGGGAGCCCGATGCGGGACTCGATCCTGGGACTCCAGGATCATGACCTGAGCCGAAGGCAGTCGCTTAACCAACTGAGCCACCCAGGTGCCCTACTTTTTAAGTTTTTAATTCTAAGTGTTTAGTTGATTTCTTTGGCTTTTCTATGTAATTGTTTTTGTCTAAGTACTTTTGCATATTGATATATTTGATCCTTTTCCTCTTTTTCCATTTTTATTATGCAAATCTCAAACATACATAAAAATAAAGAAAATAATAGAACACACCCCCATATGCCTTCACCCAGATTCAGTAGCTATTAAGATTTGGTCCCACTTACTTCATCATTTCCATTTTTGTGTTTTTGTCCTGTTGCTTAAGTATTTTAAAGCAGAATCCCAGACCTTATTATTTCAGCTCTACATACTTCAGTATGCATCTCTAAAAATACAGGTATTTTCTTACATAACAACAGTGCCATTATCATTCTTAACAAACAGTAATTTCTTGGTATAATTTAATATGTAGTATAAATTCATATTCCTTGTGTATCTCAAAATCTCTTTTAATGGTTGATTTGTTGCAGTGAGGACTGGAATCATACATCGCATTTGGTAGTTTGAACTCCAAAAACTCTTAATCTGTAGCGGTCCATAACCTTACTCCCTTTAAAAAAAAAAAAAAAGAGCCATCAACAAATGAATAAACAAATGAAAAACAGAATCAGATCTGTAAACACAAGAGTATAAACTGAGGGCTGCCAGAGGGAAGGGGAGTGGGGGCTAGGCAAAATGGGTAAAGGGAAGAGGGAGATACAGGCTTCTGTTATGGAAGGAATAAGTCACAGAAATAAAAGACACAGCAGCAGGAATATAGTCAAAGGATTGTCATAGCGTTATATGGTGACAGATGGTAGCTACACTTGTGAGCATAGCATAATGTAAATACTTGTCGAATCACTGTTATACACCTGAAACTGATGTAACATTGTGTGTCAACTACACTCAAATAAAAAACTTAATTATAAAATAAATTTTTTTTAAAAATGCCAATGACTATTGAAGAAATCAGGTCTGTGGTCCTACAGAGTGTCTCACATTCTGGATGTCTTTTTCCTCATACTATAGTTTAACTCATTCCTCTGTCTCATGTTTTCTACAAACCGGAGGTTAGCTTTGAATGACTGGTTGGATTCTGGTTCTTCGTTTTCTCTGGGAGGAGGATTGTAAGACTATGCATAGGTAGGGCTGTGAAATGTCACCTCTGTCTGAGAGTCCCACTCTTACAGGTGCTAAGATTTATTAGTGGTTCAGGTGATGACAGCTCATCCCTCCATTATAAATTTCTCCATCAACCTTATATTGAATGAGTTCACCCATTGATGCTTGTCACCCGAATGAATTATTTCATCATGGGCTATGAAATGTTTAAAAATTCTGTCAATCCTTTCACACTTATTAGCTGAATAAAGAGCATTCCATCAGTAAGTAGGGCTATTTGGTTGTTCTGAAATATAATATGTACCAAAAAGACAAGATAAATGCTTAATTCATTTTCTCTTACTGCAATTTTTGAACGAAGGAGTTGGTACTTTAATTGTTCCATGTTAAGCATCTATTGATCATACTTCTATTTTATGACTTACTGCATTGGTTAGTCCAGTGATTCTCCTACTATGGTTACCTGGTTATCTCAGCCTTTGAGAAATGGGTCTTCATTTGCACAAGAGCCTTTCATTTATATCCTTAGGTATGTGAATGACTTTCTACATGCCACACGTCAGCCTGTCTAGTCCTGTACTTTTCAAAAGAAAACAGAACCACCTTTCCCTTAGTTTCTCCTTTCTTCTTCCAGGTCACACCGTGAACAAGATGCGTCAGCACTCAGATCCAGAAGTGGCTTGTCTTGCCAGAGAAGTTTACACTGAGTGGAGAACTTTCATTGAAAAACATTCAGACAGACCTTCTATTGAAGTGCGAAG